TAATATAATGTTACCTTAGTTCTTAAGATGTCATCCATGTACTCAGGTAGGAAACCAGCTATAAGCTTTTTATTTACAAGACAATGTGGAGACGGGTGCACACTGATCTAAGTATGCATATGTGTAAAGGGAATGGGACCCTGCAGCCATAAGGCCACAAATGCACCAGGTAGCCAAGGAGCATGCACGACTGTGGCCATGAATATAATTGCATTGACTTGAGTATTCAGTGAATTTTTAATCTGTATTGTGGTAGAGCTTAGAAGGAACAACTGGCAATTAAGGCATCATTGACTAGGCCCCACACACTCATGGAACAAAAAGCCAGTCCCTGAAGAGAGGGCAGCCTGGATAATAAGGGAAATATTGCCATTGCTCATGAAACGAAGGTGTAGTAAAATCCATTCATAAAAGATATCAGAATGTATCCAATCCACTTAGAAATGTTTGTAAGAAATAATATTTCTACCAGAAAGATGACATAAAAGACTGAGGTCTGTATCTTTGCCTGATTGCTATGAGGGAGAAGTTTCCGAGTCCTCTGCCGGTTCTGTCTGAACAGCTGGCTACTCGACAGGGCTGTATTGGCTCCATTTGGGATGTTGTGAACAGTCAGCTCCACTGAGTCCTCTTAGTTTCACAGGCCATAAAAAGACAAAAGAAAAATATTCTGCCAAATAGAAATAATCAACCTGGAATGTATTCCCACTCCTTCACGAGGATATGGCAAATAATAGGAAGTAAGGGATAAATCAGTAAAATATAGGTGGTTGTGGTAGCTGAAATGATCCTTTACTGGCTGTTCATATAGTGAAGCGATGTGAAGAGATGGGAGAGTTTAGAAAACTTGCTCAGTAGGCAGTGAGAGAGGCCCTTCTGTCTGAATATTTTTTGTCAATTATCATATAGTAATCTGAGATGTATTTTTTTGCTACATTTATTCCATTCACTGAACTGATTAAAAAAGCAATGTTTTCAGGAATATAGCTATGGAATAAATATAGATGTGCACAGATAGGAGTAATTTCTTATGCCACTGAAAAAGATGTGTATAATGTGGTATAATAGAATGAGATTTGCATCTGATCTACAACCTCAGTGTAACTAAATTTTAAACACTTTTTGGATCACTTACATTTTGTCAGCTACTTGCCCTGTTGGAGGTCAGGTGGGAGTCTTGCCATCGTTTGTAATAATGTAAATTGTAATTGAATAAACTGGCTGTGATCTGGCCTTTTTTCTGAATTTCATTCCACTATTACTTAAAAATGGTAAGAAAAGTAATACCTGAAGTAGGAGTCTTCAAAAAAATCCCTTTCTCCCATATTTGGACTGGACCATCCGTTCTGCCCAAGGATGACTGAGAGACTGAAATACTGAGGTGTTTAAATACTCCAGTAGTGGATTATCCGCTTCCTCGCTAGGACTCATGGGAGATTTCAATATAATGGCTAAGGTATGTAGGAGTTGACTCACCATCCCCTTAACTCCCATCATTTCACACTTAAAGCTAGACAACTTGTAAGGAGTATTGTGGGAAAAAGAAAAAAACCCTTTGTGTTTAATAGCTGACTACTCAGAACCTAAGACTCAAGCATGATTAACTAAAACTCAGACATGATCAAGGTAGCACAGTTGAACCTCACCCCAGCTACGGTAACCGTACACAAGTGGATTCTACATCCACGGTGAGAGCAAGGCTGTATGACTTTGCTTACAATACTGATTTCATTGGAGGGAAGAATGGGTAATCAGTAAAGAAATCCATTAAAAGGCTCTGACCAGGAGCCATGGTTTTCAGGGCTTTAGTTAAGCAAAGCAGGTAGTGTATTGCCGAGGAAGCCTCTGAGATGTTCAGCATGAATCCAACAGTGAGCTGCTTAGTTACAATATTGTATTAATTTACTGTATTTTTTTACAAAAGTAATTTTATGAATCCCCTGTCAGAAGCATGATGGTAATTTTCCAGCCTCAGAGCATGAAACAAGTTCTCAAAGATGCAAGGGATTCATTAAAAGGAAGCCAGGAAAATTATTATATCTGCATGCACAGAAATACTGACTTTGCGATTGCAAGGGTCTCTTTATAAACAATGTCTACATAGATATGGCTAAAGGTGATGGGGGAAAAAAAATGCTTGGCACTTCACAAAGAGCCAGTTTCAGAGTTGGGGGTCAGAGAAGAGAGGAACCTGTAAAATTGGGGCTATCTGCAATGCTGACCAAGTTAGTGTAATGTTCGCTTTTCATTAAGCCAAGCCAAACAAGGCAAAAAGGGCAAACTTGCACGTTGTCTCCCTAGAGTCCATAGCTCCATGCCCGAGATCGCCGGAGGGAGGGTTCGCGTTAACCTCAGTTGTGTCATATTTAACTTGGCTATTGGAAGACTCACTTGGCTCTCTTCGTAAATACCACACCTTTTATATTTCTGACTCTCTCCATTTTAATACTGCTGTTTTGCTACGTGGAGATTTCTTGTCATACTTGTGATTTCTTCTAAATATACACGGTTCCTCCTCCTGTCTGCTGCTGAACTTCTAATCTGCAGACTCTGAGCGGGTGCTGATCGTGTCCCGTCATCCAGATGTTGCACGCAGGGGGCATTACTGTGTGATTTCCAGAGGGTGAATGAAAACAAGAGGCTAGGTTCAATGCTGTGAGATATCAACCTGTGAGGGAAAGCTCTAGGGCACTGCTTGTAATTCCCAGGGGGACTTTATATTCAGAAAAGCAGTGAGAAGCCCTATGCGTTAGCCTGCCTGAGAACTCTACTGCTGGATTCATAAATACTCATTTTGACTTCTTAACTGCATGCAAAACAAATAACAAGTTGCTGAGCTTCTAATCTGCAGACTCTGAGCGGGTGCTGATCGTGTCCCGTCCCCCAGATGTTGCACGCAGGGGGCATTACTGTGTGATTTCCAGAGGGTGAATGAAAACAAGACTAGGTTCAATGCTGTGAGATATCAACCTGTGAGGGAAAGCTCTAGGGCACTGCTTGTAATTCCCAGGGGGACTTTATATTCAGAAAAGCAGTGAGAAGCCATACTCATTTTGACGTCTTAACCTCAAACAAAACAAATAACAAAGTGAAAAAAAAAAAAAGGGTTTCCTCAAAAACGTGAGCTTCGGTTTACTTTCCCAGCTGCAAAATGGCTCAGTTGCCCACTTCATTGCCTTTTGCACCCCCACCCTGCCTTGTCCCTGTGGCCATGACGAGGCCCTAGAAATGAAAAGTTCTGTAACGAGCTCACCTCAGAAGAATTTGCACAGAAAGGCAGTAGTAAGGGCCCTTTTAAAAGGCCTCCTGCTACCTCTGTCCTCCTTGATTCTGGAATTGTTTGCTTAAGTTTCTGATGATCACATCTATAGCTGATCACATAAGAAAGGGAGACTCACTGAACAGCATTTGAACTTTATGGTCAAAACCCAACACTTCCAACTCAGGTGCCATACCAGCTTCAGAAGAGATAGAAATAAAAAAAGGGGACATGAACATCTGCTAGAGAGGGACTCCCTTCTAGTGATGCGTGAACCAATCTGCACTGCACCCTCCACTGTTCATCAAGGCCATGGTGGGGAGTGGATGCCTTCCTGCTGGCTCCCAGTAGTGAAGACGGACATGGACCTCTTTGGCAGGTTGTTGCCTCTGCACTCTGTAGCTATTCTGGTGGTGAGTAAGAGTGGTGCAAACCTTCAAGCAGAAGTGATGCTCTGAATTTGTCCCAGAGAAACACCTCTACCATCACAAATCATCATTCTGCCCAAGGTGGATTGCTTTTTTTGGCCTTGGAGAAACCTGTCGCACGTGTACACAGCATCACACCACTTTCTTCCCAAAGGGCAGATGCCTTGAAGAGGCTGCCAGGCCTGTGCAGCTGCTGGGACACAGGGCAAGAGACATTTAAAAAACTTTACCTCCTTGCTGATCAAATGAGAAGTGGGGCTTTCTGCTGCTGTTTTTCTAGGGTTTTTGCTCTCAGGTTCCTCTGCTGCCTGTCAGTGACTATAGCAGCACCAGAACTCGTTTTTTATTCGTGCCATCTAAAATGGTGAGGGCTGTGTCGATGTGTAGGTGTTCGTGCCAGTGATGTTCAGCAGCTTAGTTTACAGCTAGTCTTGCAAAATCATCTGTTGAGATTCTTGTCACGTTTTACTTTACAAAATCCTTTGAATAAGGGTGGGGGGAAAAAAAAAATCATCTAATGTAGAAGTCCAGGCAGTGAGATCTTCCAGCCAGGATCATTGTCGGAGTTTGTCAGTGTTCCTGCTCCATGGGCTTGGCAGTGACCTTTGTGGAAGGGTAGCTGCTCACCTGGTCACAGAGCATACATGGGCTCCTGGGTGTCACCACAGAACTAATGACAAAGATGTCCTTTTCAGTGTAACCTGATGTAAAAGCTGTAAGTTGTTATACCTCTTCCCGTTTTGAAGCTGCAGTACCGCTCCTGCGCGCATACTGTTTGTGTTATGCAGCCATCTAGAGGGCCTGCTGCCTGTACCGACTTCACACTGTTGACCAGAAACCACAAAACTGCAGGAAAATACAAGCTCTGCTGACCCTTAGTGGCCGTAACTCGGCTGCAGTGCTGTGGGAATGTTTTTACAAATTTAGGACTGCTGTTCTGGTGCTGTTATGCAGGTGGTGTAATTTTTTTTTTTGGTGGGGACGGTACTGACTAACCTGCTGAGGGCAAAAATTGGGGAAGCACTGTCAGCAAAGAAGAGGATCTGGGTATCATAGAGGATAATGTACCTGACCTTGAGATTTTATAGCAGTTCCACAGAGCAAATGCAACGCCTTACATCTAGGGGCTATCAAAATTGACACCGTAAACTGAAGGTGAGTCATTCCCTGGCAAAGAGAGACGGAAAGAAAAACTGGAGGCAAAAGGCAAAATGCTTGAAGACCACCACGTGGCTCTGACGGACAGATGTGATTCTTGGAGACACCAGGAGATGCATGTCTGGTTCAGATAGGGAAGACAAACCCTTGTACTGATGAGACCTAACCTGGAGTATCAGACGCAAGCCTGGCTTTCAAAGATCAGGAAACAGGAATTTGAATACACAAAGAAGGCCTCAAGGTGATCAGGGAAACTAAAATACTATTTTATAAGAGGAACTTAAAGATCCATTATGACAACATCCAAAAGGATACAAAATGTTTCCCCCATTAAAAAAATGACATCACTGATGTCAACAACAGAGAGGGATAAAAGTCACATGGTGCAAGACCAGATGAGCATAAATTGCCCGAACTTTTTGGGCTGGAAAGTCAATGTGTTTTTAACACTAAGAGCAGTGAGGTTTATTAGCTGTGTCTGAAGTGCCAGGAGGAAGGAACCCCTGCTAAAATGCAGGTTGATCCATGAGGTGGTTGTCAGCACCAGCACTTCCAGCCCCCACGTTCCTGCTTTGGTGGTGTTCTTCAGACCTGCTGATTGCCCAAGTTGTGTCATGATGACTGTAAAAACAGTGTGCCTGCGTTAGTGTACCTTGCACCCAGGCAGGGGGGAAAAAGTCTGTGAGAGGCTGTTACGGACACCCTTTTGGTCTGAATACAATCCTTCATTTTTGCTTCAGCGTTAATTTACACGACATCTCTTGGAACAACTTTTCAGAGGCCGATATGTTGAAGAAGACGTCTGTTGTCACCCTTCCTTGCAGCACTTAGACTGTCTCCCAGTGCCATCCCCCTGGCTTGTCCCAGCTCCTGTAAAACACTGAAGCTGGCAGTCTCTTGCCAGGATGCCTTTATACAAGTGATACTCTCTTACGATCCCTCAGCCGTGAGGATGCCCGCAACCACAGGCAGGTCGTGATAAATGCTACGGAAACACAGACCAGAACCATTTACTTCTTATCCAGGTGGGTCATGTGTTTGATATAAGCCAACCGATGGGTTCTCAGCAGATCTAAGCAGACCTGCATTGCATGTTTCATGCCCAAAGACAACGGTGTTTCTCAGTAAACGAGTTCTGCTGCGGCTTTCCAGGCACGCGTCGGCCGGGCCGC